AACCAGAATAATCTTTTCTCAAAACACCAATTTGGTTTCAGACCTTATCATTCCACAACTACTACATTATTGGATTGTACGAACGAATGGTATACCAACATGGACCGTGGGCTGTATAACTTAGTTGTTTTTCTTGACCTAAAAAAGCATTTGAACCAAGCGACAAATTCCACCCTTATTTTTCTACCTGGGATTTGGAAAGTTTTCAAGTTGAAAGTTTTAATGAGGCAGAAGAGCATAGGGCACTCCAATGGCTTTCAGAGCATGTACCTGCCTCGATTTCGGTTGCAAGTAACGTTCCCGGTTACGAAAGTGCCAAATGTTTCGTAACCACAGGGGATGAAAAACGACTAGTTAGTGATTTTGTAGATTACTTACTTGAGATAAGTGACATGAGCTACCGTCTACTTCGCGAAAAGTACGAGGATGTATTTTCCCAATTGGAAATTATGATTCGGAATTTACCTGAGGATGATGAGAAAGGTAGAGCAGATATTTTGAAACTCAAAAAACGATTTGATCTTTTTCTTTTTGAATTAGCGGCCGTAGGGTTTAATGCGTCTCGTTACGATATAAATGTCATTCGCAAGTCATTCTTTAAGATACTCCAAAGTGTCGAGTCAGAGGAAGATTTAGAACCAAACGGAATTGATTTCGTAGTGAAACGGAATAACGCATACATGTGCTTGAAAACAGCGCGTTTGAAATTCGTAGATATTTGCAACTACCTTGCGCCGGGATATAGCTACGCTGACTTTTTAAAAGCGTACGGTTGCAGTGCTCAAAAAGGCTTTTTTCCGTATGAGTGGTTTGACAATGTTAAAAAGTTAGAGTTTGACCGGCTTCCTCCGCACGAGGCATTTTCCAGCGCTTTAAAAAACGCTAACATCACTGTAGAAGAATACCAGTTCTGCTCTGAGATATATATGGTGCGATAAAAATATGGAAAGTTTTCGCGACTATCTGTTTGGTACAACAATCTTGACGTTGAACCATTTGTTGAAGCCATAGAAAAAATGTTCGAGTTCGACCAGGCAAAAGGATTAGATTTATTTAAAGACGGAATTTCTGTACCAGGTTTGGTAATGAAATATATGTTTTCTGGATTAGAACACAACACGTTTTTCAGTTTATTTCGGGAACAGGATAAGGACTTATACTATAATTTCAAAAACAACATTGTGGGAGGGCCATCCATTATTTTTAACCGATATCATAACAAAACAAAACTTTCATTCGCAATGGCACAAAACCTTGTAAAAAAATCTGGGGAGCCGATGCAAATGCGTTGTATCTGCGGGCGCTACCTCAAAAGATGCCGTGCGGTTATTATGTAAGGCGAAAAAAGATCGATGATTTTAAACGGCGGGGCTGTTTCAATAAGTGGAGCATTGAATGGTTGGACTTTGTAGCTCACCGCGACGGACTTAATATTGTCCACGCTCACAATCAGGAGAACATCGTATAGGTAGATACCCGGTTGATGGATTTGATTTGCAAAGTAAAACTGTCTTTGAATTTCAGGGCTGTTACTGGCACGGTCATAGGTGCACGTTGAATACCCATACATTTAACGAACGTCGTGGGGTTCCAGTGGAGGTCCCTCTTGAAAGGACAGGTCAAAAAGTACAATATTTAGAGGAGCGGGGTTTTAAGGTTGTCCAAATGTGGGAATGCGAATATCGTGAGCTGCGCAAAGACCGAGGAGTTGCAGGCTTTTCTCGCTACTTACGAACAACAGCTAAGACTGACATTTCCCGAACTACTTAATGAAATTGAAAGCGGTAACATTTTCGGCGTAGTTGAATGCGATATAAGGGTGCCTGACCACAAGAAAGAAAAATTTGCAGAAATGTGTCCCATTTTTAAAAATACCGATATTCCTTTTGATGCCATTGGGGAACATATACAGAATTTCGTTCGCGAGCATAAGCTAAGCGAAAAGCCACGACGCGGACTAATTGGTAGCATGTTTGCCGAAAAGATCCTGTTAATAACGCCGCTCTTACAGTGGTATATAAAACAAGGTTTAGAAATAATAAGTATTTACGAGGTTACAGAATTCATTCCAAAAGCTTGTTTCGACGGTTTTGCCGATCAAGTTAGCGATGCCAGACGCGAGGGCGATCGCGATCCGTCCACTAAAATTATAGCTGAAACGATGAAACTTTTCGGCAATTCTGGCTACGGCCGTTCACTGACCAACAAAGAGAAACATCTTAACGTGAAATACTATGACGAAAATAGCATCGGATTAGCCGTTAATGATCCGCATTTCAGAAAATTAGACATTATTGAGGACGACTTTTACGAGGTCTCTAAAACTAAAACATCAATCAAAATGAACCTGCCGATTCAGATAGGATTTTTCGTCTACCAATATGCAAAACTTCGAATGTTGGAATTTTACTACGATTTCATGGACAAATATATTGACCGCTCTGATTTTGAATATTGCGAAATGGACACAGACTCCGCGTATGTGGCACTTGCCGGTGAATGTGTCGATCACTTGATCAAACCCGAGCTCCGAGCTGAATATGAAAGGGAAAAACATTATTGGTTTCCGCGAGATTACAACGCCGAAGTTCTGGCGTTCGACAAGCGCACACCAGGTCTGTTTAAAACTGAGTTTGAGGGGCAGGGAATAATCGGGCTTTGTAGCAAAATCTACTTTTGCTTCGGTGCATCAGACGCTAAGTACAGCTGTAAGGGGGTCAATAAGTATACAAATGCGATCGATATTGACACCTATCTGCGTGTTCTTCGCAGCAAAGCAACAGGCTCCGCGACAAACAGAGGTTTTCGTGTAAGGGGAAATAGAGTGTTTACGTACACGCAAGTGAAGAATGCCTTTACATACTTTTATGGCAAGCGGAAAGTCTTGTACGACGGCGTAAGCACGACGTATTTAGACATCTAAGTATAATGATTATGTTTTTTATGACTCTAGTACCTTCCGCTTAAAATAACTCTGTTACGGAGGCGCGATAGTTTATCAATGGTCTTTAACCAACAAAGAAAATTATATATAAGGCCTTAAGAATTAAGGAGCTAATTTTGGAATGTACTTGTCACACAGACATAATCACAACGTCGCTGATTTTTACGCTATTGCTTGCTGAGGAAATAAATAAGTGTGTGTGTGTTGCCAACATTAAAGTATAAATAGTGTGAATCCAATAGTTCAATGTATTCAAAATTTTATTTCTAATTTCCAAATAAATAAATATTACTATTACATGGTTTTCGAGTACTTTGCTATAGATTTTTGACCAGACTCGTTGCGCGAGTATGCACGAAACGTTTTACTAACAAAAGCTGAGACTAGTTCATCGTTTTGTTCAAAGTTCTTACTAAATTTGTACACTATTGTACTCATACTAATGTTTCTGCAATGATAGAATATAAAATAAATACAAAAATGGCCACAGACGCTTGAGAAAGGCGATTGAAGTATTCGGTCATTGCATGTCCATTTCGAACAGTTGTTAGTCAGGAATGATACAAACGAAAATGTATATGTTCCGGGACTCTGTCCAAGCGAATCGAAAAATTCACCATGTGAAGGACTGGCAAACCAAAACGCAATCCAATGTGAGCCAGGCATGTTACTTCTATCGACATTCGCCACATAAGCTCTGGGATAGCTATCGACTGTCTCAGGCAGTTTATCAGATGCGTATGCGCCACCAAACACATGCTTAGAGCATTTATCAGACCGTAGAATTTTCTCAATCGTAGTGGAATTCATGTGCTGAAGTCAAATATAATGTTTCGGCTCTTGTCTATTTCGATCAGGCTTTCAAACTCGGCATAAACCAGACAGGTTACTGTATGGGGGAGCGCTTCAGAAAATTGTATACTCAGGCGAACGTTCCCAGTCTGAACAGGATTAAAATGTTCCGAACTGGCTAAATCTGGCGTCAGATCTATAGCATACAATGCATATCCTTTGGCGTAATCTTCACGACTGATAAGATTTCCAGAGTCGGCAAACATTTTATCCATACCAGAAAACAGAGTTTCATAACCTCGTATGTACAGGCCAGTCCCTGCGTCGCCAAACTGAACCTGAATGGGCTTCCGCATTTCTCCATTCACAGACAGGGCGACTTGAGTGACTTTATAATGATGAAAATTGAAAGTGTTCTTGGCATAACTACCATGATACGCTTCGCTATGAACTAAGGCCACGACAACACGTTTCGGTAAAACCCCGAGGAATACATTCTCCCGATCCAAGGATAACAACCCTTGCGGTTGTTTTATCCAGGAATTTTTCGTGTTCTAAACGCAGCGTAGGGCCACAGAGTAGAGACATACAGAGACGTAACTAGTGTACCCACTTTTTTTGTGCGCATGCTTGGCAAGTTACTAGATGCATGCATCTGATTGGATGACGACCTGATGACGTCTCACTTTAAACTTGCTGAGCACGCGCAGTTGATCATTTTTCGGCCGGTCGCCTGAAAAAAAGTGGGTACATGATAACGTAATCTTCCGCAGTGTTTACAACGGTCAGTTACGTCTCTGTATGTCTTATCTACTCTGTGGTAGGGCTTACAGTCACACGTCGCACGCGAAGTACGGCTTCCTGAATAATAACTTTGTATGCTGGATTTTCACCCCCTGCCAGGAAGCAAAAATTATTTGGGGATCTAACCAACTTCACTTTTATATCGACGCCTGGAATAATCAGGCGTTCTTGAAAACAAATGTCTGCATGTAACGGGCCAGATATATCACAGCTTCAACTGGTTGCTATAAAGCTGCGTCGCTTTTTCAAACCCATGTTCGCGTTAGCATCGGCTGCTAGCGGATTCACCACGTCCATTTTACCAGGTGTATCCTTGTAGTATAGCCCAGATGTCATTTGAGACTGTTGTAGTGACTGACAATGACCGCTGACCACATGGACTGTGTTATGGAAAAAAGGACATGTGTTAGGAAAACGATCGAACAGACTAGAAAGTTATTGTAAAGTTTATATTCACGTTATGTTTCATTATTATGTTCTATGCATGAAATAAAGGACACAACAATGGCGTAGTCGGCAGAGCCCGCCTCCGTAATCATTCTTCAAGCAATTTGATATCCTCAACTGACATTCTCGAACAGAAACAAACTATTTTCGTCGCATCAAAGTCAAGATAATTTCGCAATGGATTTCGCTACCCCAAGCAAAGTTCGACGTGTACAACGAGCCAAACAACGTGGCTCATCGCTGGGAAAGGTACGTGAAAACAGTCAAAATCTATCTCGCCGCAAAAAGGATAAACGCTGCTCCACGACAAAGAGCAATCTTACTTCACTGTGCAGGCAGCAACGTTCAAGACATTGCTGAGAATAACATTACGGACACGGGAACGGACTTTGCAACTTTAACAAGGAAACTCACCGAATATTTCGCAGCCCAAAACAATGTCGTCTTCGAAAGATACCAATTTCGCCAATGTACACAACTAGAGAGCGAAAAAGTCGATTCTTCACACACCAGACGTCGCATTAAAGCCCGAATGTGTGAATATGACAACCAAACTGGTAGTATAATCCGAGATCAAATTGTCGCTTGTTGTTCTTCCACTAAACTCAGGCGTAAACTGTTGGAAACTCCAAAAATTTCCTTGCAAGAGGCACTAAAGACCGCCCGTTCACTCGAAGCCGCTGAAATGCACGCTAAAGCCATCGAAAAAAGCGAGATAAGCGAAAATAACAACCCAGAAAGCAGCTCCGATGAACTCTCGAGTCTTCGTCAACACCGGAAGCCGAGCGACAAACGCAAAAAGGAACCGGACTGGGTCGAGCGCGCCCGGAAACAGGAACAGCAACAAACTCGGAAATCACCGTCACATGAGACATGCTACCGTTGTGGCGAACTAGGACATCGCATATGTGATAAAGCCCGAGGCAAGACATGTAGTCGTTGCGGAAAGAGAAATCACTTCGCAAAGGCATGCCGAAGCACCCAGGGGCCCCCGGCATGTAATGACAAAATGAATGCGTTACACCGGGGGGAGACTGCCCCTGTTGAATTCGCAAAGTATGTTTCACGCGATAGCAGCGAAGAGGAAATTTTCACCCTACAAGCTCCCAACCCCGATATCAACAAAAACAATGCTAGAATGTCTCTCCTACTCAATGGTTTCCCCACAACATTGCTCATTGACTCGGGGGCCAGCGTCAACGTTCTCCCCTTACATGTATACCAGAAAGTCAAACAACTGGGTTCCAAGCCGGAGCCTACGTCCACATGTATCTACCCATACGGCAGCAGCCAACCTCTCAGGATTTTGGGTGCGTGTCACATCACTGTGGATGCATTTGGCAAAATGTCTTCAGTAGAATTTGTCATCGTCAACCATAAGGGCACCACCATCCTGGGCAGAGACATTTCCATGGAAATCGGCATTCTTCATGTGGGACCACCCAATCACCAGACGCACGGTCTGCACAGCCTAGCGTCTGAGCAGGAGAACACTGCAACCGAAATCCACACAGATGCAGCAGCGTCCAAAGTCACACCAGATCCTCGTCACAGTCCCTCTCCCACAACTGAACAACAAAATCCTATCCCTGAACCAGAATCATTGCCCACGTCGCTACGACAGAAGAATATCCTTTCCAAGTATCGCAAGGTCTTCGAGAGACTTGGCCGCGTCAAAGGGGTTGAAGTCGAAATACGTATGAAAAAAGGTACCACCCCTGTTGTTGAGAGGCGCGGAATAAAGAGCTCGACATCCAAGAGTCGCTTGGCATCATTGAGCCAGTAGAAGGCCCAACACCTTGGGTGTCACGTATCGTGGTCGTCCCGTAGTCTACGCCAGGTGAGGTTCGGATCACACAGGACTGGCGCGACGTCAACGCACACGTCGAGCGAGAGATCCAGCCCATACCCTCATTTGAAGAAGCCACAGACGAAATGGCGGTTCTACCATCTGGTCAAAGCTGGACATGTTCAAGAGTTTCCACCAAATTGCATTGCATCCAAACTCCAGAAAGTACGCTACCTTTTCCACAGCAAGGGGTCTTCGCAGATGTACCACTCTGGTAATGGGATTCACCAACGCTTCAGAAATCCTCCAACGAGTAATGAGCATGGTATTGTCAGGTATGCCCGGTGTAAGATGGATTCACGATGACATAACCATCTACGGTCGCACGGTACGAGAGCACAACGAGCGTCTTGCCGCATGCCTTCACCGACTGCAGCAATATAGCATCACCTTCAACAAGTCAATGTGCATTTTTGGGGTCGACAAAGCCACTTTCATGGCCATGCAGCTATCCTCCAAGGGCATCCAACCTTCTCAACAGAAAGTTGACGCAGTTAAGTACTTTAAACCCCCAGCAAAGTATCCGAAGTGAAGAGCTTTCTCGGTCTCATCAACTTTCTCGCTCGATTCACGCCCAACCTTGCCACGGAAGCGGAACCCCTCCGACGCCTCACACGCTCAGGTAATAAGTGGATCTGGGGACCAGATCAGCAGAAATCCTTCCAAGGCCTGAAGAACAGCATCTCGCGGGCCTCATGCCTTGTCTTCTTCGACAAAGATCGTCAAACTGAGCTTCGAGTAGATGCCTCGCCTGTGGGACTGGGAGCCATTCTGTGTCAAATCCAGGGAGATGGAACTTCGCGACCAGTTGCCTACGCTAGCCGGTCGCTAAGCGATGTCGAAAGGGAAGCACTCGCCGTCAAATTCGGCTGTTTGAAGTTCGACCACTATCTCAGCGGTGACCCAGATTTCACCATCATAACCGACCACAAACCACTGCTTGGTCTCTACAAGCCTGGGTCCCACCTCCTCCACGTATTGAGCGTTGGGCGCTGCGCATTCAACATCTCAATTTTCGACTTCGTTACGAACCGGGTCCAAAGAACGCAGCCGATGTATTTTCACGACAGCCGACTCTACCCCGAGCTCACGTCAATCCCAGCGAACACGCGGATACCAGAATGATTAATGCCATCACCACAGCGTCACTGCCACGAGCCTGCATCATCGAACAAGTAAGAGAAGCCACAGCGAAGGACGCGAAGCTTCAAACAGTCCTCAAGTCTCTCCAGTCAGGCACCTGGAACAAAGACCTTGGTCTCTTTTTTAGCCATCGAAACGAAGTTTCCTTCTCTGACGGGGTCTTGCTCAGAAATAACCGCATAGTTATCCCTCGATCCCTACAACAAAGAGTTCTCGAGCTTGCTAACCAGGGGCACCAAGGCGTAGCCAAGACGAAAGCCCGTTTGCGTACTAAGGTATGGTGGCCGGGAATGTCAACGGAGGCGGAAACATTCGTTAAACGGTACCAGCCTTGTCTTGTGGCGACTGAGCCAACAAAACCTAGTTTCACCCCACTGAAACCCACCACCCTCCCAAAAGCAGCCTGGTTATTGATAGGGATGGATTTCGTAGGCCCATTTCCCACCGGAGAAAACCTGTTGGTGCTAGTCGACTATTATAGTCGATATCCTGAAGTAGAAATCATGAAGCATATCACGACTGCCGCCCTGGAACCGCGCCTTCGTCGAATTTTTGCACGCTACGGAGTACCCCAGGAAATTGTCACGGACAATGCCAAAACTTTCCGGTCATCCAGGTTCTCTAACCTTATGAGAGAATTTGGTATCAAGCACAAAAAAATAACTCCCCGGTATCCACGTGTGAATGGCGAAGCAGAACGGTCAACCGCAGTATCAACAAAGTGGTCAAAACCGCAATAGCCGAGTCACGGGACTGGCGTAAGGCCATCGACGCTTGGCTGTTGGCTTATCGTACCACGCCCCATACGGTCACCGGTTAGCCACCAGCAGCCATGATGTCAACGACAAGCTTCCATCACTACAGCCGTCAGCGCCCATAAACATCAACCGTAGGTCATACCGATAGCACGACGCCAACAACAAGCAAAAGGGGAAGTGCTACCACGACATTAAGAAGAAAGTGCAGCCCAGCTCAATTAAAGTCGGCGATCAGGTCCTTATCCGTTCGGAAAAGAAAGGCAAAGTAGCACTACCGTGGCGTGCCAGTACGTTTCGTGTCACCGCCGTCAAGGGCGACTCCATCCTAATCGACGATGGAAATCACCGCCTCATGCGCCACTCTACGGCTGTTAAGAAAGTGCCAATAACCGTTACAACTGCTCCAGATGTTGCAACAACACCTCCAGAAACAATTGTTGCTCAACGACCTCGTCGCTCTATAAAACGACAACCAGACTATTACGGCTATAGTTCTACCGCATGATAGGTTTCTAATCCATGAAGGGGAGAACTGTAGTGACTGACAATGACCGCTGTCCACATGGACCGTGTTATGGAAAAAAGGACATGTGTTAGGAAAACGATCGAACAGACTAGAAAGTTATTGTAAAGTTCACGTTATGTTTCATTATTATGTTCTATGCATGGAATAAAGGACACAACAACTGTTTCGCAGCTGGGCCAAAGTTTAGAAGCGTTTCAATCATGGCACGGTAGGGATAGGTCGTCGCGCTTGGCGTGATTAATTTATCGTTGAGTGAAACATTCACTTGACTGAACAGTGACTGCAAGAATAGGGAGCTTTAGATTTGACTACGTGTACGACTACGAGTACGAGATTCGTCAAGCGAAACGCATGCTGTATGCTTACGCCATCCCGTACTGACGCGAAAAAGTCGTACTCGTCGCCCATCTGAGTACGAAATTGTGGAGAAATCTCGTAGTCCTCACTACGACTTTTCAAAAAAACATTTGTATAGCATTTATATAGCGTTTATCCGGCGCAAATAATATATTAGTACTAAATATCTGGCTTGTTTTTAACGTTATGACTTATTTACACGTTTTTCTAGGGCATTTTGGTCTGCAGGAGATTTAGTTTATGAAACTTTTTCTCTCATTGTTAGTTTACTGCTATAAAAGCAACATTTGAATGGAAACGAAAACGACTACATTAATTTCCTAGCACGCGATCAAATCTCGTACTCGTAGTCGTACTTGTAGTCAAATCTAAAGCTCCCTCAAGAATAAATTCTGTGGGGCGATTTGATCTTCAGCTCCGAGATCTTCTCCGTCAGCAGTTTTTATTTTAGCTTTTATGTACAGTTGCATTCGGCTAGGATCTAAATAATCTTCTCCATTACCAGGAACAAAAAATTCAATAGGGGCGGAATCTTCGCTTAGTGTTGACACGGGGTAATAATCTACAAATTTACTTTTCTCAACTGTGACTTCCGTAGGAGGGACGCTAAATAGATTCAGTTCACTTTTGTTCCACGCTTCGGAATCGTAGTGAATAGGCTTCAGCATGTTTCAGTTACCAAATATATCGTTATATTGTGTCCTTTTCTTCGTCTTAGGTGTGCTTGCCTTGCGAGGTTTTTTAGACTGATTGGAAGTTTTTTTTTTCACTAAGGACATCTTCTCCGATCGCAACACCTGTCTTTAAGGCCTGATGTCCAACTGCTTTACCTCCGCGAATCAAAAACGGAACTGCGCTGCGAAACAATTTTCTTAAAATCCCTCCTAAGCCATTACCAGATTGTGTCCGAAATCTGCCAAATCCTCTCTGCATTCTGGCCCCCACAAATGCCCGCAGAGCGCCTCCAGTTTGCCACTGTTTCATATTAAAAGTATATGGAATGATTTGGTCTAAGATGTAGTGTACAAATCGACCGCCCGTACTCAAATGGCACTGGCCTTCCTGAATCGTCGGTTAATATACACTTCCAGCGTTTCAAATCACTTCGTACCGACTGGCATATATAATCGATTCTGGTACGTTCTTGTAATTATATCACCGTATCTTCCCTTAATTTGAACGGTACGTAGCAAGGGAACTTTTTTATCACCAACAATTTGATCACTCACAAGATTGCAATACACAAACATGGACGAAAATCCTGCCTCAATATCTGCCGTATAGGACGACGTTGTTTTCTTGGTAATATAACTGTCTTGGTCAAACCCTAACGCAGCAGCAATATCACCAGTGAACCAAATGCTTGTTTGTTTCTTAACATCAACGGTTACTTTGCGTGTATGCTTACTATACGTTAATTGAATTTCGCTTTGTACATCTTTCGAAATATGACTGTTAACATTTTTGACGAGATCCGGAACGCTTTCGTAATGGCCACTGTCAACGATTTCAGTGCTTCGTTCACTACCCACAGTATATACAAGCGTTTGCTAAACACCCTGTCTTATAGTACTCCAGGTATGTGCGTATTGTATCTCAACAAGAGCGACTTCCCAATCGCCAGTTAACGAAACGGTTTCAGGAAGTTTCACTTTAAAATTTGTGACTGTATTGGAGGGAAATATTTCCATACAGCTATTGCTAGGTAAGGTTATGAAAAACGGTCTTGTTCTTTCCATCACGGTGGTTGATATGTCACTAAACGCGAACGTTACTTGATGTGGGTTATATCTTTTTCATCTACCCAACTGTTAAATTTTGTAGGGTAATTTTTCCAACTGACCAGATATTGCTTGCGACCGTTCCTGGTTCGTGTGCGAAGAATGCTATCCACTCTATACACATCGTCTTTTTTAACGACTTTTTGCAGTTCAGCTTCGTAAAATATCCCATCAAGAATTTCGTTTCCAAAATCCTTAATTTTGTACACTGGCGGAATTCGTGCAATTTGTTCAGCTATGGTAACGTTTTCCTCTGTCCAACCTTGATTATACGCTTTCTCAAATGGTCTTCGCGTCTTATTTATTTTTACTAGATCACCTACATTGAACTTAAATTTCGGATTGGGTTTTTTCTCTCCATAAAGCGTTTGCCTGACTTGGAATTCATTTTTCCTGGTCACATTAGCTGGAATTTCCTTGATCGTCCTGTGAAGAGTGTGATTGTACGAGTATACTATATCTTGCAGTGCGTCAATATAACGGACAGTGTTTTTTGCCGTGAAATAACGATATATTTTTTAGTTTTAATGTCCTTATAAATCTTTCGGCTATGCTTGCTTTTGTCTCACTGTTGGTGGTAAAAAACTGAATACTGTATTGCTTCATGAGATTTCGGAATTGTTAATTCAAAAACTCTGTGCCCTGATCGGTATGGAGATAGTTCGGCACCCGGCCTTGTTCCAAAATGTCTCGAAAAGCACGTGTAACGACTGGCCCTGTCTTATTTTTCACCGCTCTAACCCAGGCATATTTACTGAAACAGTCGATACAAACAAGTAAAAACCTATAGTTATCATTCTGTGCACTAAGCGACTGAAAGTCCGCCAAATCAGCTTCAAATTGACCATCTATACCGGCAACAAAAACTCTCGTTCGAGGATAATTTTTCCGGACAGGCTTGTGTAAGCTATATATCTCTTGCGAGCGTAACCATTCACGCACGTCATTTCGACTAATATTTAGGTTGTTTTTCGTTGCTCTCGCCGCACGATAAAGTTTTTCTAAACCACCAAAACTAGCCTCGTTCTTGGGGTTGTAGTAAATTTTGTTCAGAAGCGTTTCCTTCTTCTTTTCCATCTAGTTCTGATTTATATATCACAACTCGACCTCTGCAGCAAGTACAAAGACAGCGAATGCGTTTGAAAATTTCACGCAGTCCTATACTAGGTGTTTCGGCTGTCCAAAGCAGTTTCCCATGTTAACATGACAAGTGTTGTATGGCAAGTTAAAAGGGTGTCTTATTACAGCACGCTTTTAAGGCATTCTTAGCTTTTCACAATGCTGTGTCTAAGATTGTCGGTGATTGTGTTGACTTTTTTTCTGTTTTGGCGTGTCCACGGTCTTGCACGTGTTCGGAAAAGTTTAAATTGGTGAATTGCGCGAATGGATGGTTCACACACCTGCTACGTGGAGTGAGAGGGAACGGACATTACATTATATTACTTATGAACGACAACCAGATAACAACACTAACAGAAAAGGACATGACCGAACTACAAGGCTTTAAAGAAATCGATATGAGAAACAACCCCTTAAACTGCACCTCAATTCACCCGGACATTTTGAAGGTAATCTTGAGCGACTGTAATTTAAAGGAGACCCCAAATCAGCACTCGTACCTGACAATACGGACACGCGAAACGCTGCCAGTAACGACACGAGTGCATGATGTAAAAAAAGTAAATAAAGCGAACACAACACCGCTACTGGGCACACGAGCGCATAACGGAAAAAGTGAAGGAAATCTAATAATGTGGTTGATTGTCCTACCGATTTTGCTCGTGTTCGGAGTGTGTGCGTTCATTTTAACTCGCAAAATGCGACAAAGACACCGCGTCGTCCGCGCCATACCCATGGAAATGAGTACGCTGAGACAAGCCGAAGACGAAGACGAAGAAGTAATTCTGTTTGAACTCAAGGAAAAACAATGTTGATTTATTTCATTTAGCGAATTTACAACATTTCACTCACTCACTAGGTTTATATACATATATATAAGTGTTCTGTTCGGGTTAATATATAAATATAACAATGTTTTAATAGCTTAATTATAGTCTCCTAATAGTCTATCAGTGACAGTTCCCCCATAGCGTTCGTATGTGAGGAAATTGGCAATTCCCCCATGTATTCAGCGTATGCATCGTGCGGATTTTCCCGTGCGCTAGTAAAGGTAAGTCCAGTTTCAGCTACCATGAACTTGTACAGCGCTGGATTACTCTGCAATATACCAACTCTTTCAACGTGAGAGAGAGAGGTTTTCCAGCTCGAGTTTCCATTCAAAAAATCCGCACGACTTTTCTCGATCGTTTGGACAACAGAAGAAAAGGCGGCCTTGATTTTCTCCTTCCTTTTTGACTTTCCGTACGCAAGCATTCAATCCGTGTCCGCATTTCGGTTTTGGAAACTCTTGTCTGTCACCCCACTGCCAGAACTTACATGGATTCTCGTGGTCACAACAAACAAAAAACGGCCTTCCAAAGTTCAGTTTACTAACGGCTTTGACGACTTTCATTCTTGCTAGCCTTTGGTGAGTATCACACACTGGATGAATTGGTCCATTCGCTCTCCACATTGACATGGCCGTTTCGAACAACGAGCGGTCTTGATCAGGGCAGAAGAATTCACAACTCTTGGGATTATTTCTGTTGCAAACCCAAAATTTTCCATTTTTGTAGAAACCGCGGACGCTGGCAATCCATGCAAACACTCCATTGCTGTAGGTAAACGACAATCATACTGTCTGATGCGCGATATTTATGTCCTGTCGTTAAAGCCAGTTTTCTTGCAAGGTCAGCATAGACAGGCCCGGGCAATGTCGTAAAAGTACAATGTGTTCAGCCATATACAACAGTTAATGACTTTTGCTATTCAACCCAGATTAGCGATATTCAAATTTCGCCAGGTTACTAGTCGCGTAACCATGCAATTAAGCGTTGTATCCAAGATTGTTTTATTTCAAAGCTCTCTCTCTCTCTCTCTCTCTCTCTCTCTCTCTCTCTCTCTCTATATATATATATATTTATCTATATTTTTATATATATATATATATATATATATATATATATATATATATATATATATATATATATATATATATATATATATATATATATGTATATATGCATATATATGCCTATATATATATATATATATATATATATATATATATATATATATATATATATATATATATATATATATATATATATATATATATATATACATATATATATACTGCAAAGCTCACTTCCCTTGTGGTCGTTAGAGCACTCTTGCCCCATGACGCTCTGCGCATGTCTGGATGCGTTGATGCCACCGTGTTGAACCACATGCGCCTGGTGAGAGCACTTCATGTGGTTATATACGGATGTCATCACGTATGAAGACAAGTACCAAGCGGCACTGATGAGGCATTGTACGCCGAAACATGCATGTCTGTAGATTGTACAATATATATATATATATATATATATATATATATATATATATATATATATATATATATATATATATATATATATATATATATATATATATATATATATATAGACATATCACATGGGTTGTGGAACAGGGGGCTATATAGGAGGGGCATTAGGCTCCCCCCCCCAAATATTATGAAGAGAGCGAATTGAATAATATGTCTTTTAACTTTTTGCTCGCTGTCTAATATGTAAAAGAAAATATCATGCACTATGATTAAGTAAATTTAAGTTGACTTTCTTTGAATCAATTTTATTTTTTATTTCTCTACATTCCTGATTTTATATTGCTGTAATAATACAATCAACATTTTTTTGAGGAAGGCGGGAGAAGCTGTTATATAATTAAAAGTGCTATTGTACACAATTTTTTGCGACTAGTCTAATTAAAAAGCTGATGAATTTTTAAAAAATTAGCCCCTCCTCCTCCCCTTGAACTATACATATATTAGTCAAATGTTAGAAATAGCAGTTTATCCAAAATATAGAATGTTAATTGTCCATTGATTATTGTGTAGGTTAAT